AAAAGCAGTTACTACCCTAGAGAGTTTAAAATCGAAGCACTTGGAAGGAAAGCTTTAGCTCAGTTACATTAGTGGTTATCACAACTGGAGCCAGATGCTAGGTTGTGACAAAATCACCTATTGCAAAAACAAGGTAATTACACGTCTGGGTTATTTGTGAGTTGAATCAGTTCTTTCCTATTTGCTGAAATGAAATGCAAGCACCTAGGCACTGTAGTTTGCTGTGTTGTTCAGACAGTGAAGCACCTCCAGCAGCATGCAGTGGCTCTGCACAGTGAGAACGGAGCATATCACTGTTAGAAACCAGAAAACCTCTGAAGAGTGCAATAAAATCCGTACTGGCTGAGAGCGCTGGCCTTGCTTGGGACAGCGGCTTAGCATGATAAGCACCATCTCTTGCTCTGCTTATTTCAATATATTATTGAGCATTTCTGTAAAGCAGGATTTTAAAATATCCTCATTTGATTCCTATTTTCTTCCCCCCGGTACCCAAACTCATCCCTCAGCTGCAGTGGACTCAAAGCAATGCCAGCAAATTTAGAGGATTTGTGTCAGTGGATCTGCAAGCAGGGTTTGTACCCACACCTCAAAAATTTGTATTATTTCTATAGCTTCTTTTTTCAGAAAGTGTATGAAAATAGTACAGATGATTTCTAGTAGGACAGTGAGTTGTTCATGCTGAGACAGCAAATAATTTTCTAGTCTTATTTTGAATCACTCTTGGAACAAGTCTTAGCTCTGCATGTACAAACTGGGCCAAAAAAAAAAAAAGGGTGTGGAAAAAGACACAAGGCCCTTTGTCCTCTCTGGAATTTGTTTAAAACCTCAGAGATGAATAAAGCACTTTATTTAACCCAGCTTGGCTATAAATAGGAAGCAGCACCTTAGCCTCTATGTGAACTAGGGAATTCAGATGTGTCTCCTCAGTTACAACCACACTTGGGAGGCACAGCTTCAGTCTCAGATGTGTCCCCACACTAAAGGGTCGTTAAAAGTAACAGAGGGTGTCGAGTTTGGACCAAAGAGAGGCTTTGAGCTAGAAGGAGGTGCTGGGGCCAGCAGGAGTCAAATGGCTGCTTTGCCTTTGCTTGTGTTTTCTGGTTGTGCTTTAAGCACCAAGTCATCCCAGTGTTTAGCATCCCAAACCCCATCTTATTTTTAAATTAAGAAATGTAGAAAATTTAAATTTAGAAAAATTGGTTTCAGCATGGTGACTGTTCATTTCTGTGGTACCTTGAGGGCCTCATGGTGGAAAAGGCACCTGGAGTTACTCTTCCCTCTCTGCAGAGACTCTTCGCAGGAGCAGCGTTAGCTCCTATCCCTCCACGGGATGTCATCTCAGCACCTCCGGGCTGCACTGGGCCAAATTAACCTAAACCAGGGTGGACAGGAACACCTGAGATTTAGAGAAACCATTTCTGCAGCAGGTCCCAGCCCTCAGGCTCATGAGGAGGGGGAGAATGAGCCACCCCAGCCGCGTGTGTGTCCTGCTGGGACAGCCCTGTTCAGAGGCAATTCAGAATTAAAAAATCAGCCATGCTGCTTCCAGAGCCAGTGCACTCCACAGCTACATGGAGACCATTTTTGTGTCCAATTCACTTTGTTCTGCCTCAGTTGTGAAGTTGGGAAAAAAAAAGCTACTTGCTTCCCCCTGCACACCTAAGCTAGAAGTTAAAGACCAGTATCAGTGAAATAGCACCTGAGTTACTGGTTTTCATTCCATGTTTAGTTTATTTTGTTCTACTCTTGTGTTTTTGGTTGCAGTTCTGTACTTGCAAGACCTCATCAGCCTGAAGAGCCAATCCAGGAGGATGTACAGAGCTGCCAAGGAAAGGCTGGGCTGATGAGATAGGTGCTTGTGCTATTTCTTTCTGCTCAAATCATCATCAGTGAATAGTTAACAGCAACAATAAATTATTCTCAGGTTTCCAGTGCTGTGGTATCTGGAGCTTTCCCCAGCTCCTGGGTCTGGTTGTACATCCCAGCAGCATCCCAGTCTCAGGAGTTTTCATGGCTTCATCGCCTACTTAATAGTAATGCGTGGGGGTACAGTTGTCAGGGGTGTGGAGGACACGTGGGTATGTGACAATATCCAACCTATGTTTCATAAATTAAATGACTAATTCATAAAGAGAATTTGTTGCACTCCAGGAGCCATGCTGAAGCTGAATGCTGGCTTGATTGCAAACATCCATTTAATGGCTGGACTCACTGCAATCACAGGCATTTTAAACAGATTTCATTTGGTGTGTGGGCATGAATTGTTAGGCAAGATGAAAAGATCCTTGTCCTTTGTACTGTAAGGTCTGGGGTGTGAAAGCTGAGCATGAGGAGAATAGCTCCTGGTTCATGTCCCCACTTCCCTGGAGGTCTCTGCTCCTCTGGTCCAGCCCACCCACCTCAGGATCTCCAGAAGGGAAGAATGCTAAGGTTAGATGGTAAAGTTTTGGGGCTCTTCATGGCAGAAATGTTGGAGAAAATGGAGGAGAATGTTTTATTGGTGTTCTCAAAGGAAAATTGCAACTTTTTAATGTTTCATTTTTTTTTCCAATGATTTTTTTTTAAAGAAAGAAGAACACAATTTTTGTTAAAAATCCTAGTTTTCCAGAACTGAGTGAATTTAAACTTTGGAGAGTTACTGTCTCTGAAATGAAAGCTGCAGTGTTTTCAAAAACAAAGGGAAGAAGGGTGCCCTGCTCTAATTTGTGGTGGAAGCAGTGCATATGAGTAACAGATTTTGTAAGGTGAATGTGAGGGATATGCTGTTGTTACAGGAGTCATGGCTCCCTGTAGCTGCCAGGGACCACCTTTCTCCACAAAAGAATTCACATAAATATTGGATTTGGAGAAAAAAAAAAAAAAAAGAAAAAAAGATGGTAAAAACACACATTAGGATTGATTTGATTTAGACATGACGTTTTTCAGTTTAACGTCATAAAAGCCAATTGCCATCCCTTACTAACGGTTTAAGTAAAGGCTAATTCCACTGAAAATGTTACTTGCTCCTTTAGACAGAACACATCTAAATACATCTAATACATCAAGCAGAATATATCTAAAAGAAAGAACTAAGAAGATGTCTGATAAAAGATAAATGAAAATGCCTTATGTCAATGGGATAACATTAAATGAACCTGAGGATCCAGTGGATTTAAGTTTAAAATATAAATGTTAGGAGCAAGACAACAATGTTCCCATGCTTACCCTATATAATTAATTACAGATAAACTCCCCCTGCTTTCAGACGCAAGGAAAGAGCCAGGACTCAGCACAGATCTCACAAAGACATTAAAATGAGCACCTGTTGAAATTGCATCCCCTGGAGCCATCAGGTAGCACCTGTTGCATCCTTATGTGGCTGAACACCATACACCACGCAGGAAAACACCTGAAAGGAAGAGACCGCTCCTACGGAGGTGGGAAGGAGGCAGTGTCAGTCCCTCTATCACCCCACCCCCAGGGTAATATATGCCTGGATATGAGATTTTCCATGCGCACTGCATGGAAACTCCAGTACTGACATTAAGCATCAGGTTTGCAAACACTGCAGTGCCAAAGCTGGGCTCATTGCCTCCAGCCTGGGATACAGAAGATTTCCCTCACCATGTCACCACTGCCCACTGGGCACAGCCCTGCAGCAGCAGGTCCCCAGCCCAGCTGCAGAGAAATTGGCTTTGACCCCAAGCAATGTTTTTTGCCGTGCTGATATACCCATCCCTGTGACAGCAGCTGCTCTTGAACTGGGAAAGTAAGAGGGAGTCTCACCCTCCAGTTATCCAACCCCTTGCTTTTTGGTAACTTCACATTTTGGAGAAAAAATTGGTTGTTCATTGGTAGACTATCTCTGCCTCTCATCTTCTCTGCCACATGAACCCGCTCTCCTTGCAGGGGGTATAGGTTTCTAGTAATGTGAGTTCCTGCTGGGCTCCACAATAGCCTTTCAAGAAAATGTTTAAAATGTGCATTGCATTAAAAGGTGAATGAAGATGAGCCAAGTGGCTCATTGCAAGCACAGCATGCAAGGCAGGGTACCACCCAGGGCGAAGGGGCTGCACCAAGCAGTGAGCATTGAGCTGCCTTGTCTAGGGAGGCCTCAAAGGAAAAGAGATGGAGATGGCAACTGCCACTGATGTAAATCTGAATGTATCTGTGTAGGAGCATGTGGGATGGATGTTCACTGTGAGTGTTTCCATGCCACAGGGCAAAGGCAGGCTTAGGGTGGGCTTCGTTCCCCTGTATTACCTGTATTAGTGGTAGGACAGGATCTGCACATCCCCACAAATAATCCTTTGCATTTTAAAACCAAGACACTGTGGGCACACCACTTCTTCTAATCGGTCCAGTATAGTCATTTAATAGGCTAAATGGTGTAACACATCTACAGGACATACATACATTAGTCAAGTATTATGTACAGGTGGCATTTTACAAAATTAGAAAGAACTGAAATAGAGCAAAATCCAACAATGTCTTACTCCATAAAACTTCCTTTCTGCACTACATGAAATATTCTACAAGCTAGACTAGAAAAATATGACTGAATGTCTTTTTTTTTCCTTTTTAGTTTCTACAAAGCTTTTAATCCAGAAAAAATACAAAACAACTATTGAGTTTATTAGAGACAACACTTGCACACAGACAAAGTAAGTGGACATTCATAGACCTGCAAGTTGAATAAATAGGGCTTGTTTGTATAAAACAATTTTCTCTCTATCTTGCTCTCCTATTTTAGGGCCTCTGGCCCATGTTCAGAAAAATAAAAACGGGAGGAGGAGTTTGGCTTTGCATGCTTGTTACACTGAGGCCAAACAGCTTTAGGAGAAAGCTTTAGTTTGAAGCATCCATTTGCTTCAGGTAAAATACTTCAAGGGAGCAAAGCAAAAGAGGGAACAGGAAAGACAGGAGTAATTAGCCTGGAAGGAGGAAATCTGGCATTTCTATATGAGCTGCAGCTTTATGTAATAGGATGAAAAAAGCAGTGCTGCGTGGCGTTTTTTCAGGATGAATGTAGAATTTTGTTGTTTCTTTGGGAAACTTATTTAGGGAAGTGCCATTGACCTCAGGTGGAAATAGGATAAGGGCTATCCAGAGCAGGAAGGGAGGGAGCGTCTGAAAGCAGATAGAGAGCACATAAAATTGGGGGAAGTGTTTCAAACAACTGTTTTTCCTTTTATAAAGCAAAAAGCAAATTAAGTGATATGTCTAATGTCATTCCTCACAGAGCTGGGCAGATGCAGATTGAAAGGAAATCACACAGCTAAAAATGTCGTCACCGTTGTTGTTTTCCCCCCAGAGCTTTGTAAAACTTCTTGACCATCGATGCAAAAGCAGCGTTTAAAGAGCACCTCGCATCCACCCGGCTGCCTCGCCAGCACAGCTCTCCTTCTGCCATGACCAGCTGCAGACAGGTCCGAGTCAGGGACCTCCTCTTGCTGCTCGTGTGCTACCCAAACACGTAGCTTGAGCTTGTTCTTGCTTTGTTGGCTTCACCACTGTCACCAGTGAAGGGGGTGACAAGGAGAGCAGCCAGATTTAGGAGGTGCTCTTGAAACCTTCAGTTATTCTGGTGAAATTCAGTGCTCTGACCAGAATCCCACTCATCCAACAAAATAATTCTGTGACAGTGTAAGTAAGAAAGTCTACATCAAGAAGGCAAAATAGATTGTTACATAGGTTGAGAGAGCAAAGTTTAACTTAAGTATCACATTATACTATACTACACTGCTTATAAAAAGGGTCCTAAATCCCAAACACCTCAAATAATGAGCTATAGTTTTGTACATAAATTAATGTTGCTTTGAAGTAAAATAGTCTCTTTCTTTTGTATTAAACATTCATTGCACAGAATTCTTCGTAAGTAAATATATTAAATTTGGTTGCTAAGAAGGTATAAACTTATTAATACATCTGGCCAGTAAATTTTATCCACCATCACACGATTAAAAGTTGCCTTTAGAGAAAATTATTACTGGAGAAAAGAAAGCACTTGGAAGTCAACTTAAGAGTTAACGCTGGAAGAAATCCTGTTATTTCGTTCCACCTACAGCAAGCGGCTTCTTCCGGCTGCAACATTAATTGGAAGTACAGACCCCATCCAGCCCTGCAAAGACGGAGAAAGCCAACTTCATAGCTTACGGGACACTCATCACTGACACAGTCAAACCCTTTTGAATACATGCATTATCTATCTCCACCAACACGATCCAAAGGGCAGCATTTGGGGCCGAGATGGCTGCTTCTCCTGGGACAGTGGGAGGGAGTCTCTGGGAGGTCCCTGGGCAGAAAGGGGTTCACCCCTGTCAAAATGGCTCCCAAATCCCCAAGGAAAATCCACTGGAGGCCCAAGGTGTCCGGAGACAGCTTGTCCCACTGTGAGCTCTGGTCTCCAGGAGGTGGCTGTGCAAGCAAAGCCAAGGGGGCCGCACTGCAGGTGAGGGCACCCCTCAGCACATGTGCTCCTGCCCGCGGTGGTGTGTCCCACCACCTGGCCCTCCTCCACCCCCTCCTACTGCGGGTGACTCAGAGAGGACCTGGCATCAGGCAAAATGGAGGGCGGGTTTGGGCTGTGCTATGGAGCTCCCATCACCCACCCCCAACCACTGCCTGGCCCAGGTCAAGGGAAGAAGAGCTGGGCCTCTGCACCTACGTTACACACAAAACATACCAAAAGAAGAATTGTTACAACAATTTCTATTAACAAGGTGGGACAAATCCAGCCCTGGCAGAAGTGGGAGCCATCTCGTCGGCTTCAAGAGAGAAAAGCACACGCCACGCCACGGTTGGACCTGGGCCTGAAGAGTGCACAAACAGCACGATCCACCCGACCAAGCCTACAACAGACAGCCTCACTCCACAAACACCAGCGACTAGCTAATCCGCTTTGTCAATGTACAGCAAAGTGAGAGGCTTGAGCATTATTGAAAAGGCAGCTAAGAAAAGGCTGGTTCATCCAAATTTGCACACGTTAGCCAAAGGGAGAGAACTGCTCTGGGCCGCCCTGGGGCCACAGCCTGGAGGCAAATCTTACACTTGCGTCTCTATACAAAAGTTACAAAATCAAATGGTGACATTATATTACATCTATTGTCCATAATATCACAGTGCTAGTTTTAAATGGCTAAAAACAAGAAAGGTTTTAGATTTAAGACATCCCTCCTGTAGAAATGTAACCCCTTTGTCCTGCTGTTGATACCTGAAAGCAGCCTTGCTCAAAAAAGGTAAAACCAATGAAATGTGCTAATTGAAATTAGGAGCATTTTTTCCTTGATAATCTCGTTTTTCCTAACACGTCCCATTGTTTCCCAAGGAAAAAATCAAATAATATGAATCCCAGCCTGAAAATCAAAATGTTGAAAAGAACAGTTCTAAAGCCCAGACGCTTCTTACCAGGTACTAACTAAATAAAACCCTTGCAGATTTAAATACAGATTACTTTGACATGTCTTCAGAGTGTGTTAGCCTTCCAACAACGTTCAAAATGAAGTTTCACTTCTGAGGCCATGGAGTCCTTACTCATCCTCTTCAGTTCTGCTTTCCAGAGTATCTGTACTGTCTTCCACTTCTTGAGCTGGGTGCGCTAAAGTGTCTGCAAACAAATAGCTCATCAGTATTTATTTCCCCATACAGGTACAACAGCCTTCATTTGATTCCCTGCTCCACCAGGCAGTTGATCCATCAGGGTGACCAGACCTGACATGAGCAATTTGCTCTACTTGCAAACCAGTAGTTAAACCTGGAGTAGGGAACTCTGAGTGCATCACAGTCTGACTTTAGAGGGAACTTGAGACCTCAGGATAGATATTAGTGAGATGAGGTGATGATCCCTATGGATAGCCACTGTAGTGGGTGGGCTACCTGCTGTCTTAGTGAAATCTGCTCAATTCCTCAGTCCTGAAGACATAACAAGTCCTAACATCAATGCACAAAACCAACACAGAGGCCACAATGTGCAACCTGCAGGTCAGCCCATAGATCTGGCTGATACTTCTTCTTGCAAGATCAAACCCTGTGGTTGCCACCACTCAGAAATGCCAACTGGAAGAGCAGGTGATTTGACACTTCATGATCAGACTATTTGTCATTGCCCCTTTAAAGGGAAGGGAAGGTACCTCTTGCACCCCATCCTGGCTGCTGTCTCTGGGAGTTTAGGTGTCGAATGTTGGTGCACTGAAATCACTCTTTAAGAGAAAAGGAGAGCACTGAGATTAAAAAAACCTGAAATAAATAAAATAGTTCCACACTGGAGCATTCCCTGTGCAAGCTGCACTGCAACAAGCTCTTATCTTTAGCCATATTTACCCTACAGTGACACTACTGGTCATATCTATATATTTGTGAGCTCCTGCTACACTAAGGTATTGCCAGCACACCATGATGCTTTGAAAATGTGCAGCTGTTAAACACTTTGCTTCTAGGCCAGGAGATGGAAAGGTAGATATATGCTATAGAACAGGATTACTGTTACTTAGAGTGAACTGCTAATGTGCAGTAAACTGCCCGTTGGCCATGTGAGTGGCCAGCACTGAACCTGATGCAGGTGAAAATACCATGTGCTCAAAAGCTACAAGGACAATTTCAGTCCACAGGTCTCCCTCTCCAGTGCAGGTGTTTCTGGGACCTTCAAGCACCCACTGCTCTTTGGTTCACAATTAACTTCAATGCACAGCATGGCCTGAATCTGCTATTTTCCTGCGGGGAACAAGAATGAAAATTACTCATTCAGACCTTCCAGATCCATCTGTTGCTGCTGCTGCTGCTGCTGCTGCTGCTGGACACAGACTCTTTGGTCACCATGAAGACCCTTGTCCTCTGCTGATTTCAGATCATCAGGAGGCCAGCGCAGCTCCCCGCTCTCCACCTCCCCAGACTCGGTCGGTTCCACCACAATTGATGGCAGTCTTTTGGACAGCTTGGGGTACTTCTCACGTGAGTCTGGGAAGGCCTGGTAAGACATTTGGGGAAGTGTTGTGAGAGATGAAATCCCATCAAAGCCTTGCCCAGGGATGCATATTCAGAGCAAGCAGAGTACATGCTCCATTTTAGCATCCTTTCTACATTTGAAATGCACTCCCACATCCATCAAAAACCCCCTTCAAACTGGTGAAGGGCAAGAATCCTGCACAGGGAGGATTTCAAAAGCAGGTGAATCCAGCTCCTTGCTAACCAGATGCTGATGCAGAGGGGCCAAGGTCTCAGCACACTCTCCTCTGCACATGCTGTCCCTTCCTGGGCAAAGAGCCGACTTTGCTCGCCAGTGTGTAGGGCAGATGATTGCCTTGACTTGTGTGATCTGACACGTGTAGTAAAAATGGAGACGTAGGAGACAAAAATTATTTTCTTGCCAAACACTCATGTTTCAGTTCTGGTGGGTTTTTAAGACACAAAGGTCATGGCTGTAACAGTAAGCTAAATAGCTGCTGCAGCCCTGCTGGCTGATGTCCTTTTACTGTGTTACGATATTCATGGTTTGTCACAGTGACAGTTTATTAAGAAGCCACCACTGTGCAGAGCTATTTTCTATAACGTGAAGCATGGTATTTTATGATGCATTCATGCAAAACAGGTAGCTCCAGAGATCATCTTTACACAGATGATGGTGTTAGCTATTATTGTGATTTGTCACATTGAAACTGCAGGTCAAACACTATGCAGCAATTAGAGCTTGAAGCTGAACTAGGTCTTTTTAGTGAAGGATACCGTAACACATAAAAGTGCTTTCTTGTTTTCAACATTGCTGGTTCATTTAAATCTCTCAGGGTACTTTGTTTTGGATTGGTTTTTTTCCTGTTGTTGGGTTTTTGGGGTAGTTTTTTTGAGCTAAAAATCATTCCACTCCTCCAGGATGTTAACATAAGACAAACTGTTGTTGCTTCACTGAAACCTTATCTCCTGGCTTCTCAAACTTCTCTATATCTGCACTAATGGTCTGAAAATTTCTCCATGCTAGCTGAGTTTTACTTTATTTTATTTGTAACAGTAAAATCAAGTGCAGACTAGAGGACTGAGTTCAGAGCAAGAACCATCCCAGTTTAACTCCAGGCACCTCCACAGGTTTGCTGTGTGCTGGTGGGAAACTCCCCACACATCTGCAACACGTTTACCACTGAATCAGGGTCTCTGGTTAGACTGAGCACTGCTGGTTATGTGAGCCAGTCTCAGCACAGCTCCTGCTACAAGCACAGGCAGAAACATGCAGATAGTCCCTAATCACCATAAAAGTGGGCACATCCCCCAGGACATTGCCGGGGATCTGAGGGTGTCATAACCCACTGGAGATGTTTGTTCCATGGCTTTTGCAACCAGTAGCTGCTCTCTCTAAGAGCTTAGGGTTTAGTCATCCCACTTGGCATCAGAGTTGGCATGGGGAGGCAAGCCCTTGGGAAGGGCAATTCTCTTCCTTTATGTCTGGGAAGCAGCAAGCACATTTTTATCATTGCTGTGATGCCTGTATCTGACTTCTGGAGAAGGACAATAATTCTCACTCTCATGTTCTCACTCCTGTGGTAGTGTTGTGAGGATTCATTACTGTTTGCAAATCTACATGAAGGTGAAAAATGTTGTATATTAATTATTGTTAGTGTTGCAAAGTGAAACATAATTAAGAAGAAATTTCTTTTGTGAGAAAGCCCCTTCAGCTTAACTAGACCAAGTGAATCACTGAAGATAAAGCTTTCTAATGCCTCCCTGAGCTTTGGGTGTAACTCATCCTGGTCAAGTGATGCTACTCATGATGCCTATCAGAAAAGGTCCCCAACTTTCCCATTACACAGCATCCTTCTGAGCTGTTTGTAATTTATAAAGACATTTTCATGGCAGCTCTCTTGACTGGGAGGAATTTTTAAGAAGCTGCTAATACAATCCAGCTATTTCCAAATATGAGACAAGGTAAAATCTCCTTGGACAGGACAGGTCCAGAGACATCCCTAAGTAGCAGTGCACTCTTCTTCAGACCCATGGTGGAGCCCAGCTCCCTGAGTCTCATGGCTCAGCTGGCAGAAAACAGCCATAAAATTGTAAGCAAATTGCCTTATTTCCTCCCAGGGCTGCATATGCCGGTGACAGTGACCTCTTTTCCCAGCTGCTGCTCAGCCTGCCTGGGTGGCAGAGGTCTGTGTGACAGCCACCCCGTACCCAACCCTGCTGGCAACCTCTGGATGGGGGGATCCAATGCAACAAAATTTCTGCTTTTTAATCTGCTTTCTGAAGCTCTAGGGAATGACACACACTGATCTAAAAATGTGCTAAAAGCCAATTATTATGGCTGCAACAAAATTTAGGTAAGGCACCTGTACAGCCTCAACTTGGCTATTTTTGTTTGTGTCATTCTCATATGGTCTTTTCTCACACCAATCTCATAATGTGTTTTTCCACCAGAGCCCAGTATTTACCACGTCCCTCCAGAAATGAGTCAGGACTGGGGGCCTCGCTCTGTTTTTCTGCGGAAGCTGGAGTGTGTGACGAGTGGGCAGGAGACTGCAGGAAGAGAAGGACCAGTCTCCTGGCCAGAGTGCTTGGAAGTTGCTGGAAGAAACCTAGTTTTCCTACTGAGTCACTGACTTTGCACTACCTCTCATTTCTTTTTGTTTTTTTGCCTTGGGGTGGTCATCACTAAAATGGGGATGGTACCACCTTCTCCCAGAGGGGAAGGGTAAAGGAGCTGGGGGAAAACCTCTGGAGCATATGCTCAAGGACACCATAGAGCAGTCCTAAACACATAGGTAGAGTCAGAGCTGGCACAGGGCTTGGGCAGTGTACACTAACACAGTACTGAAAACCTGAGACTCAGTAAAAGAGGAAAGAGAATTTTAAAAATGTGCTCTGAGAGAGCAGCACCTATCCTGTGTGGTCAGTGTGGCATGAGAAAGCCTATGGTACACTCTTTAATTGCATATAATCCTTCTCTGCATGCACAGTGATTTGAAATTAGCAAAATTTCAGTTCTGACTTCCCTGGCTTCCAAATATTTTACTTCAATCTGCAATAGGCTTCTCCTAGAGTAGCTTTCTGAGCCTGCTTGCAATCATACACCTTGTGTTGAGGAGCAGCTCAGGTCCACCAGGACACGTTTAGGTAGTTTGTCCCTGGCAGTGTCACTGAGAGTCATGAGCACAACCACAGAGCACAAACAGGGGTGTGGGGGTTGTCACAAAGGGGGGTTCAGGACATCGTGATCCCTCCTGCTGGAATCAGCACTGCAGGCGGGTATGTGAGTGGGTGTGCGGGACCGCCAGGGACAGAAAGTGCTCCTGCACCTGCCAGCTAATGGTCCCGACCAGTGCTGCTGCTATGGTGCCACAGCCATTTATGTGAATTACGCAATCGCTTCAAATGGTCTCTTTCCTAAAAAGGGAGCGCCCTCTGAGCCTAAGGAAATTTAGCTCATTACAAGGGTGGCTGTATAAAAGCTGTGGTACAGTATTGGCTGGATGTCTTCACCACACATGGTTGCTCAGCTCTGAACTCTTGGCGACAGCCTCTTTGCCTGCATCCTCACAGGGGCTGGGCATCATTGTTACTGTGCCCTGGAGACCTGGAATCTGACAGAACCCTCCTGCCAGAACCTTTTAAAAATAAGAACCTTTTAAAAATACCTAAGTAGGATAAAACATGTATTTCAGTGCTAGTTCTTCTGGAAGCTCTGCGATTCAACATCAACACATATGACAGTTATTGGTTGTATTAAATTGCTTTTGAAAAGCAACTCAGGATACTTTCCAGTTTTTCTAAAGTTACCTGGCTTGAAGGGCCTCCTTCTTCCTCAGGAGTCTGGCTGAGTGCGAATTCCTCCATCACCGGTTCCCGTGTGTTCATCACCTCTGTCATGCTGTGAATATTAAAGCAGAATGGGAAAACTCAGCTCTGAGCTTTAGCCCCACAGTTAATTTAACAAAAGATACTGGCTTTTCATATTTGTTAAAATAACTGAGTTACAGACTGTCCTTTCTAAACAGCCACTAAGAAGCGTTTCCCTGGCCCTCTAAGCCAACTGCTACTGCTACATGCCATGACACAGAGCAGGGCATCGACCCCAGCTGCTCCCCAGGACAGCAGAGAGGACCCTCATAGAGTCCCAGACCAGCAGGAAAATGGGAGTCCTCCAATGTTATCAGCAAATGGTTTATTACTGATCTATGAGCTCAGAAATTGCATCTGTTGATCAAAAAATGTTACTCGTGGAAATATCAGCCTTGAATTAAATTTTCATTCTGATTCTTCATAACATTTTCAATATTTGCTCTTCCCAGATGTCTCTTCCATTTAGTCATGAGCCAGCACTTCTTTTTAAACTGTTAATTCCAGACATATCAACTGTATCAGCGTTTATGGGCCAGATTTTCAGTAGTCTTTACTTCTCTGAGTGTTCAGAGAGGTGTTGAGTGGGATTTCCAAATGCATCAGGGAAGGTTTGGGACCTAAATCCCATTTAAAACAGGGACTTAGGAACCTTAGCTGCTTATGTGCCCATTAAACATCCCCCTGCAGGCACTACAGCGCTGGCCCTTGCACTCTCCTTGTTCCACTGGGCACTTCAGCACCCGGGAGCAGAGGGATGAGAGCAGGCTGCAGTCCTCACTGCAGGGAGCTCAGCCCAGCCCATGGCTGGGTCGCTGCATGTCTCTATGGCATTAGGAATTTCCTCACATTTGAGATTTATAGAATAGCATTCTATTGAAAAAATTTGATGATGTCTGAAAACTTCATAAAATGTATTAAGCACGTAGGAGTGAACAGAGCCTGAACCACTCTGTTTGACCTACAGACTGAAGGGACCGTGTTCATTTTGGACGGGAATACATCAGCCCTGGATGGCTTTGGCCCTAGGCGTTCCACTCTCTCTAGCTGGCATTTGTCAGGTACGGCAGCTACTGGCTGCCAGAGCCTCCTGCGGCAGGCAGAATGTAGGCATCCTCAATTACATCGCCCTGCCACAGCAAGCACCCTTTAGGCACGACTAAATGCTGCCATTAATTCTGGTCCTGCTTCACACACAAAAGCCTTCTTTGTAAAGGCTGCTCCTACTGAGAAATGCAAACTAAAACATCTGAAGGATAACTTGTTTCAGGCTTACATTACCAATTACCCCACAAAACTAAATTTTACAATATCTGCAATTACTACAAAACCCTTCACAATGACTTTAATTAGCTGTAGCAAGAGCAGCGTGATATCGCAGAGACTTTCACTCCCACTGCATCACATTTAAAAAAGAGCACAGCAGACCCAGGAGATGCTTGAGCTCAACAGGCCAGGACCCGACTCCATAGATATCCATCAGTTTCGGGAAAAGCCCCGAAGCGCCAGCCTTGGACCCAACCAACACTGAATTAAACAGCACACTTCCTGGTAAACATACACACAACAGGAGGCTCTGAAACCAGGCTCTGAAACTCAGCAAGAGGCTGAACCAAACCCCTGACCTGGGCATCCCCCTGCTTACACAGCCTGAATCCTCCCAGAGACATGGCACAGTAGAAAAGGGACAAATTCTGTCCGCTCGGAAGAGAGATTTGAACTCTCTGCCTTTGCTCAGACCTGTACCCCTCCCCAGGGACACCACATCAGGGCACCACAATCACTTAATCAGTAAAATACATTTATTTTCTCAACACGTGCTTTTATTCATGCAGCATCCAGCAGGCCATACCACTTGGCACCCATGGATGACAGCACAGGAAAGGAGACCCTTTCCTGGAGTGGTGATCATGGGCCCAGCTGTGCTACCTGTTCATGCCACCTGAGACGGTGCTTAAAGGACAGAGCTGTGCCCTTGGATCCTGCCTTGCCCAAAATGAAAGCAGCACTCCCTCCATTGCCTCCTCTCACTGATCACCCCTGGTGCTCATGCAGTTCTTGCTTTTTTTCCATGTCCTCGTCCTTGTCTCTCCCTTTGTCCCAGAGGGACCCTTCTGCATCCCTCCTGCTGCCCCTCCAGCGCTGCCTCTGAGGATGACCATGCTGAGCCATAGCAGGAGCCTGCTCTCACACTCCACAGGAAGAGATGGTCTGGGGGGCTTTCACACTGCCTGTTAGCCAGACCCAGCCGTGAGCTGGAAGAGCACGGGGCCCACTGCTCTAACCATGTCCAAGATGAGTATCTTTCCTTTTGGATCCTTTTTGGGGTTCAGTGCCCCATTCCCAGCTGTCCTAGATTGCAGGGAAAGGGAAATGAGGAAGTGTGTGTCTGGATGGAAATAATATTGGAGGCTTTGTGGGGGGGCCGGGATTCATGAAGTTTTGGGCTTGGCTACCATGGAGAAGTCATATCCCACTGATGTATGTCCTGGGGGTTGGTCCCCGCTAGCCAGCAGCAGACTCCTGCAGTTGCCCACATCTGGCTAGCTTATTTTAGCAGCCTTTCAATACATACTCAGTGTTTAAAACACTTCTTTGTCCTTGTTCCATGGGACATTAGAGATATACATCCACACACACACTGTCAAATGTGTCATATGAGCTCAAAGATGTTGTTAAGACCTCATGAAATTCTATTATTGAGCAATAAGGGGCTCCGTGCTTCCCTAAGACCACATTACACCCCGCAGATTATTTCTAAATGACAAAGACAAATGATTCTGGCTAGGAAAATGGTGACAATCCTGCCAGTGTTACAGCAGATGCCTCAGTGAATCAGCTCCCAAGCTGCTGAAGCCCAGGCCATTTCACAAAATCCATGCAACTTAAGACTTTGATTGAATAGGATGGCAGAAGTGATTGTACTTGATGTGTTTCAGAAAAGAACATGGGGCCATGCATTTGGCAAAAGAATTAGGCTTTAACGGGAATAAATTAATTGTTTTCAGTCTCCACTTAGAAACAGTAAAGGAAAGCAAAAAAATCTATATGGGCTGTGAAAGCAGTGATGCTTCTAACAAGCTTAACTAGGTATTTAATGCTAAAAATAACTAGAAGTAAAATAAATGAGAATGCCACTGCAAATCATTTAATCTGAAACTTCAAAATCACCTGTAGGACATCACTGAATTGTTTATAAAGCCACAGAATCTGAAAAAAGGGTTTGGTGGCTACTTAGGGCTTTTTAAACTATGATATGATTTACGTGCAGGAGGAATTTTTTAATTTTCAGCCAGTTTTGATGGAAAAATGTTGAGCCACTTTTAGTGCTGCTTTTATGTGAGGTGTACTAACGCACAACAAAAAAGTGGCTGATACAAGCAAATTATTGTAAGAACTACATCTCTTAAATTTGGTCTTGCATCCACTTTATGTACGGTAGATGCTAATATCACCAATGACATACACTAGCCACAGTGATGCAAAACAAGGCAACAAATAGCATTTACAAACAAATAAATTCTGTTCTGGTGGATGAGTCACCTACTCTGAACCTTAAAATTCCTGTGGCAGTGAATTAAGAATGCATTTACTTCCCCTAGGTTTAATTAAGCACAAATATACCAATTAGGAACAAAAGAGCAAAATCTGTTCTTGCTTTTCTGTGAGAAAACTACATTTAGAGAAGATTATCTTAAATGCAACTGCTGCAGTTTCAGGACCACAGTATGCTGATCTTTTTCCAGGGGCATGGAGCAAAAGCACAGCTTGCTTTCTGCTGTTTGTGATGGCACTAACAAGGTTAGTAACATACAGAGCAATATATAAGTTGACAAATGCTAAACCACCTACCATGAGAAAGTACTCAGAAACAATACAGATATTTTTATTTTAGGTTTTGAACAGAAGGCAAAACTGACCTGTGAAATTCCTGGTGGCAAAACAGTGTTTGAATGAAAACCAGCTTCAGGATTCAAAAACGTGAAGTGCTTACGTGGCTACGGAAAACAGGCAGGTTGCATGACGCAAGCAAATATTTCCTTAAGAAGAGGGGCAAAACCACATTTTATGGGACAGGCTGAACCACTGTTAGGAAGAGTTGTTATCTGAAGCAAGGATCAACCTGGAAGATGATCAGACATGCACCAAACTGAGGCCTGATCCTGCTCTCACCTCATGAACCAGGATGACAGCAAAAGGGGATGCCCGACCAGAGCATGAGGGTCTGTGGGGGATAACCAGCAAGTACAGGGCAATGGCAGAAGAGAGCATGTTACCTTCAATCACATCAACAGATGTCACTTCCAAAAACTGTCCTTGCTGCAGGCGTTCACGTCGTTGATGAAGTGTAGTGCAAACTCTGTCAAATCCTAAAAATGCCTGAAAGAGACAATACAACAGTCAGAGCATGCAACCAAAGTGACAACACTCGCAGAGACCAGTGTGAGAGAATACTACTGAAAACTTGCTGCAGAAACTCCTACTGTGAAAGCCTGTATAATTTTTCTATGCCAGATGTGACTTGATCTCACTAAGGATGCAGCTCGTAGTATACCTTGTGAATTACCAACGCAATTAATGTTCTGAAAACACCCAAAGCTCTTAGCTGAAATACCTTACAATCTGACTCTTTTTGTGATGCTAAATCTTATTCCTTAGCGTAAGCTGTATAAAAACTGCTGAAACTGGGACACTCTGAAATTCTCCCATACAGGAATTTTGATGATAGTTGGAAAATCAGAATAAAAATGTATACCCTTATTTGGCAGGATCAGTGTGCTTAGTGAGACACAGTTCATAACATCAAAGAACGAGATTCCTGCTCAAGAAGCTACTGGTCAAGACACAAAGAAGGCAAAAGATGCTGAAAGAAGGATATCTTAGGGTTACATTACTGCATGTTTCTTTCAGATATCACAGGAGATGGGATTTTTGCAAAGGTCTATTCCAAACCGAAGGTAATACTCTGACTGGTATCAAGACAGGGAGCTTGGTGAGCAGAGGTGAGGATCCCACCATTTCAAAGTGTGAATCACTGATTTCTGATGACTACTCTGTCAGAAAGTCTTAGCTGAAGAGCTTGAGGAGTTACAGTGCTGAAATATAGTCAGTATCTTGGCCAAAGATGATTTTCTGAGAAATTTGTTTAGCTCTACAGCTTGCCAAATATATATTCATGCCAGCCACAGCTATTTCCTTGGACGGGAAAAAGGTGTTTTCAGTGAAGTGAATGGCACTAGTGTATATATTTTATATCCTCCAGTGGTTTGGATTCCAGCCCAAGTGATTAAACAAATCTACCTGCTCTGGAAGCCTTCCTACCAAGATTTATAACACTGGATTAACTGCACACTGATTTTATTCAAAAACAGTGACAGAGGAAAAATTGTGCATTGCATTCTGGAGTTTCTTCTCATGCCACAGGCCATGCTTACTGCAAATTAGGGAAGCAGGAAATCACATCTCCTTCCCCAGAATTCCATTCAGAAGGTTTAATTCTTCTCTAGCAATTTTCCTTCCTAACCAATAATTAAACCAACTTCAGAGATGCTAATTTTTTGTCCCTTAAAAATTCCTGACTACACTCAGTGCTTGTCTCTTGTATGGAAACCAGATATACCACGTTAACCAATACTCTGGGAAGAAGATTTTTATCCCACTACCCATTACAAAACCACTACTATTAAGCCTATGAAAATTCATCACGAACTTGTCTACCTTCAATCCCTCCTTTAGAAAAGACTGGATGTAGTAACAAGAGACAAAATGGTATAAGAGATAACGGACCAGGCACCACGTGGCCACTGGTTGGAATCCAAGCCAGGCCAGTTTCTGTTTAGAGGTATCTTCAGAGATACGTAAGGATCCATGCAGTACTGAATGAATTAAACCCACATCCATTGCTTTTCCAGTCTCAGCAAAGGATTTCTGGATTGAAATGATCCAAAACCAATCTCCTCTCCAATGTTTTGGGCAAGTCTGTCCTAAGGTGCATTGCAGTGTTTGAGAGCAGATGTCAGCCCCTAGAACTCAGCTGTAATAAAAAGAAAATCACGTAAGGACTGCAGCATGGAAGAAGTCCCTTTGCCTAGCTCCACGGCCATATTTAAAAACAGAAAAACTTCTTCCCAGTTCAAGACTGTTGAAGAGTTCAGTGTTTCCAGTGTATAAAACTACCAGAATGCATTTATTCTCTGAAGAGGAAATACTCACTTTATCTACCTAATAGATGTGATTGTCTTCTTTGGCTGACACTAGAGGAAACATAAACTAATACCCTTCCTTTTATGATACTGCTTAATCTTTTTAAAACAAGGCATGGCTACTGAGACCATGCAACAAGCCTTTACTGCAGTAGAAAGAGTCTGGAAATCACTTGAGTAAAGCCTATCTCTTCTTATCCCTTCTTACTTTTACCCACCTTTGCTGTTTTGCAGTCTGGACCCCATTTACACAATGCAGCCTCTCCCAACCTAACCGTCTTCTACCCCCAAAATAACTTGCCCTGCTTTGCCTCAGCTTGATAATCAGTTTCTTCTCTGGCTCCAGGAATACCAACACAGTTGTGCTGCTACTAACAGAAACAAGAAGTCTCAAGTCTCAGAAACCAGTGATGCTGCCTGTCCAGCCCTCCTCTGGGCTTGGAGAGCCCTGCTACACCTCCCAGTAAAGAACAGTTGATTTAGGGACTACTCCAAGATATGATCACGTCCTACTTCTTTAGGAGCTGTAGCACCAAGCGACGTGTGAGGAGATACAACCAAGAGAATGATAGGAGAGCTTGTTCCAACAGTGAGACCAAGCAATGCTACACTGGTGGCCCCTTTGCTAGATCAAGGGCCTTCAGCCTCCCACCCCAAACGGATGGATTTCCACCTGTGCTGCTTGGCCAAAAGCCCAGGTACTGAAAGGTGCTCTCTGGGCTTCTCTCCCACTTTGGAAAGCATCTGGGACACATTGTGTATTTGGAGTTTCTACACCACAAGGACACGGTCTGTCACGGTGGGGTGGTCTTACCACCCACAGGAGGACAACAGGCGCCAGGGAGCAGAAGCGGGATGTTGTGCAGCAATTCTGGCCAGCTGGGGTGTGTGTGGGAGGCCTGGCCTGGCTGTCTCTCCTGTGTCGTGCTTGGCCTTGCCATGCAGGGAGAGGACTCTACCATGCACAGCAGCAGAGGTCTTTCCTTGGAATAAATCCACTGTGAATTGCAAAGTAGATGTTTTTAAGACGAGTGCACTTCATCAGGCAAAACAGAAATAGGAACTGGCCACAGGTTGCAATCCTAGCAGCCCAATGTTTCAGAGGTGCTGAGCCTTGAACACTTCCCTGGGAGGCAGCAGCACCTCCAACACCAGGTCACTTTTATTTAGAGATGCCTTCTACTCTGAAAGCATCACCCCTCCTCTCCCAGCAGCCACAGTGTCGGAGACAACTGGGTGGCAGGAGACCTGATGGGACAGCCCCTGATTGGCAGGGGCTGCGGGACAGCCTCCTCCCCGCCCCAGGCTTCCCGAGTTCATTGTTCCCTCACTGAGCACTCATGGATATATTATGATAACAGCCTAACAATACTACATTGAAGGTACACCTTCTAACAAATAAGTGTAGATAGGTGCTAGAAATTGGCCTGGAACCACTGCTCCAGGTGCCAATTTATCATTTTTCTGGCACCACAGAAACAGGAGCCTTCCCCTTCTTACTTCAATGGGATATTCCCAGGGGCTTTACCAGTCCTGTATTTAAATTATGGAGAGACATCCCCCCCCCAGCTCTGCAGGCTCAGCCTTGTGGGCAGGAAGACTGTAAAGGCCAAGCTCTGGGAGCTTGCCCATGCCATTGCAGCACATGCGGTTCCCACTGATTTCAGATAGTGCCTCAAACAAACCAGGAGTTCAGCCTTGGGCGTCCGGTCCCCCCCCGTTTCACCCTACTAAAGCCTCTGGATAAATGCAAACTTTTCTTCATTCAAGAAGTCTAGTCTTTGTGTGTGCTACAAAAAGAACCCCCTGCTATTGATTACAAGGAAAATTGGGACAGGGCATGCATAAGAATGGTGTTAGGCAGGAGGAGCAATGGTCTACTGCTTGATTTTTGTGAAGTGGAAAATTTCGACACGACACAGTAAACCCTGCTCAGCAATTCCCAATAAACAAACAGGCCCAAGGAGATTTTTCCACCTAGAAGAAAGGGTGCCTTATTTGGGCCACTTTGCTGCAGCAGATCGGGCTGTCAGTTCAGCCAGGGTGGATGAGTGGGAGATCTAGGACAGAGCTATGGTTGTTGTGGCGGATGAAGCCATGAAGGGGCTGCTCACATGGTACCAGAAAGTGCACGTCCCTGCCACGAAATCTCAGTTGGCATCCTCTAGGGCCAGGTGCTTCTGTGGATCCAACTTTTCTACACCTTAGTTAGTGTCCTAGGAGGATGGAGCTACAGCTTAGGCCCTGCAGTGCTGCAGGCCACAGAGGTGTCCTGGGCCATCCATATGCAGAACCATGCCCACTACCTCTGCTGAGGGTGGGACACCAGCTTCAGCATCTTGGCACAACCCAAAGTAAGCACTTACCTCAGTGACACCCTGCAGCCTCCAATTTCCATGACTGCCTACTGAGCTCAGCTTTTGGACACTGTGGATAGGAACTTGGACAGCTTCTTTGTTTCCCCTGGTTGCACATTTGTAATGGATGCACTTTATGAAGTGTTGTGGATTCCATGGGACTAGCGAAATGTAAATTACCGCATGGACCACAGAAGATAAATGCGTGTGTGTATGAACTCCTATTTAAACCTCCCACTTCTTTTTGGATGCAAATCTCTTTCCTAAGCAACTGAGAAAAGTGTGATATGTGTCAGAGTCTGGAGATTAGAGATCTGTTCTGTTCCCTCATTTCAGAAGCTCTTGTCTTTGGCCACCCACGCAGTACTTGAGTTCTGCTCTCCGCAGGCCAAAGCTGCCTTCCTCTCCTTGGCAGCGTGTGCTCTGTAGAAGATGTTGATCTCTCTCAGGAAGCAGCAAGATGAAATGACTCTCGATGTGGAGGAGCAGGCATTTTAGCATGAGACACAGCACGTAGTTGAGGAGAGCGAAAAGGGGTAGGAGGCTGCTATTTCCAGACCATGCTGCCTCTCACCGCTAACTTCACAGCGAGCTGCAGTTTTTACTGTTCCTGCTCCAAAGAAGCTACTGGGGTAAATATCACCCTGGGGAATTTCTCAAACACTCATCTGTGGACTACCAACACTAGAAAACACGGGCTCACAAAGGGCATAGTACTGGCAGGTCACTCTAACTCAGCTTCCTTGACTCCTGGTGTTGCACAGTGAGGCATTAGGGAACCGTTGTTCTTCTGACATCCCCAGCTTCTCAATTTCCAGTT